CAAATAAACAACCGTCGCTCAGCGCCGCCCTCTAAAGGCGTCATAAACAAACATCAAACAAACTACCGTCGCTCAGCGCCGCCCTCTAAAGGCGTCATCAACAAACATCAAACAAACTACCGTCGCTCAGCGCCGCCCTCTAAAGGAGTCATTAACAAACATCAAACAAACTACCGTCGCTGAGCGCCGCCCTCTAAAGGTGTCATTAACAACCATTAAATAAACAACCGTCGCTCAGCGCCGTCCTCTAAAGGTGTCATTAACAACCATTAAATAAACAACCGTCGCTCAGCGCCGTCCTCTAAAGGTGTCATTAACAACCATCAAATAAACAACCGTCGCTCAGCGCTGCCCTCTAAAGGAGTCATTAACAGGCATTAAACATTAAATGTGTTTTCTGCTTTTGTATTATTTTAGATTTTCCTCAGTTTTGTTCTGTTTGTTGTGACATAAACATATGATGATGTGAGGAAGGGGTGATACAGCGTCTCATCTCTTAATTTTTCCTCATCTGTGTTCCTCTCTGTCTCTCAGGTGTGTCCTGGTAGAGTGGTGACCATCATGACGTGGACAGGAACTAATCCATCTCTGAAGTCCGTCCTCCTCAACTCCCACACTGATGTCGTCCCTGTCTATCAGGTAAGGGTGAGCGACGTGGCAGAACTGTAACATCACAATATTTACCTGATACAGAATCAAAATATGTCATTTTTCTGGAGTTTACAAACAAGTTGGAATAGACATCACTGCGTTTGTGAACTGGGGACGTGACTGAAACATCCTGGACTTGGTCACTCATCGTTATCTGTGCTTATCTGTATATAACTAGTATATAACGGTAATGAAAAACCCACACCTGAAGAAGAATTTGAACTAGTACACCACCCACTACTACCACTACATTACTATTACAGCGCTGTGTTGTTTTTTTGTTAGTTTTTTTTTGCTTTCCTTTGGTTAACTGAATAAAAGTTCATGAAGTTCCCAGATACTCCTCTAACAAAGGTAGTCAGAATGTGCGTCTCCTTTAAGAGCGCTGGCTACAAATGCCTGAATCATATTCCAAGCTATCCGGTTATATTAGCAATGCAGATCAAATTTGAAGTGGACTTCGTGTGACTGACTCATTAATAATCACATTAATAAAGAAAAAGCAGTTTTGAGGTGAGGAATAAAACCGAGGTTTACATTTGCATTTATTCATTTAGCAGACACTCCAGAGAAAGATGCCAACAACGAATGTGTTAACATGCACTTAATAATCTGATAACTACAGAAAATCCGATTTTGTCAGTAATCCGATCAACACGTTTTCATGCACTTGAGTAATCAGATAATGGGAAACTCCAGGTCTACGTGAGTCAGACAGTAATCAGATTTCTGCTTTACAGCCAGCCAGTAAACTCACAGAATAAGACGTGACGTAAACGTAACGTAAAATCATTTAGAAGATGAAGAATATTTAAATCCTTTTTTTCGTCAATGTATTTGGTTTCATCGTCGCTCCAAAAAGTTTTGCTGCGTCTCGTGGCGACGCTGCTCGCTTATTTCCGGTACCGCCGTCTGTTTCGCACATGCTCAGACTGACAAATTCGAAAGAAATCAGAGTAAGAGTTCACATGCACTGAGATATCTGATTACTGAGCTAAAATCCAGCCTCTTTATCAGATTTCTGAATCAGATTTCTAGATCGGAGTATGGTGTTTACATGACCATTTGAATAATCAGGTAATTGCAGAAATCCGATTATGATCGGATTATTGAGTGCATGTAAACACAACAACTGATACAAAACACCCTGAAAATCTGTGAGGATTTATGACCTAAACAACAAGAAGCCATATCTTAGTTTGCTGTAGGGAAATGTATAGAAATGTAAACACTGAGGAAAATAAGTGCTTGTGAAACTTCCTAAACTGTTCCTTTAACCCTGCAGTGACTTTACTAGCCGTCTCTGTAACTCTGTGACGTTCCTCTGCAGGAGCACTGGAAGTACGATGCGTTCGCTGCTGTGAAGGACGCTGAGGGAAACATCTACGGGAGAGGAACTCAGGACATGAAATGCGTCACTATACAGTGAGTTCAGCTCTGTATGTAACTAAATGTTTATATTTTTCTCAGGATTATCTTTATTCATATATAATACACAGTTACACTTTCTTAATTTGTTTGATCTCTGCAGGTATATTGAGGCCGTTCGTCGTCTGAAGGCTGCAGGGAAGAGGTTTCCTCGCACCATCCACTTAACTTTCGTTCCAGGTAGGATGGCGTTTCAAAACTGCATGACACTTTACTTTAACCAGATACATAACATTGATATAACCATTCTGTTAAAATGTCCAGCATAGCTAATATCAATTATTTGATGTTGATTATGGGCACAAGCGAACATCAATCACTCTCATAACTATACGATCAGTAAGATAAAGCCTTTACGTGACCAAGTCTTGTGACCACCATTAAAGAGCCCATAAACATCACTGCTTTTTTGAATGAGAACCAGCCAATCAGAAAAGAGCTTATTTACATTTTGCAGTCAGGCACAGTAACAAAAACAGTGTTTATTTTTAAGAGTTAGAGTTAAACACAGAAGATGTAAGACTGCAGGTAAACCCAGTACGTCTCGTCATCTTTGTTGAATCTGTAGTTTTGTGTAATCTGTAGCTCCGCTTACTATATAGGTGCACTTTGTAGTTCTACAGTTACAGACTGTAGTCCATCTGTTTCTCTGATACTTTGTTAGCCCCCTTTTACCCTGTTCTTCAGTGGTCAGGACCCCCATGGACCCTCACAGAGCAGGTACTATTTGGGTGGTGGATCATTCTCAGCACTGCAGTAACACTGATGTGGTGGTGGTGTGTTAGTGTGTGTTGTGCTGGTCTGAGTGGATCAGACACAGCAGTGCTGCTGGAGTTTTTAAACACCTCAGTGTCACTGCTGGACTGAGAATAGTCCACCAACCAAAAATATCCAACCAACAGCGTCCTGTGGGCAGCGTCCTGTGACCACTGATGAAGGTCTAGAGGATGACCAACACAAATTATGCTGACACACATGAGCTGCTGTCTCTGACTTTACATCTACAAGGTGGACCAACAAGGTAAGAGTGGACAGTGAGTGGACACAATGTTTAAAAACTCCAGCAGCACTGCTGTGTCTGATCCACTCAGACCAGCACAACACTAACACACCACCACCACGTCAGTGTTACTGCAGTGCTGAGAATGATCCACCACCCAAATAGGACCTGCTCTGTGAGGGTCCATGGGGGTCCTGACCACTGAAGAACAGGGTAAAAGGGGGCTAACAAAGTATCAGAGAAACAGATGGACTACAGTCTGTAACTGTAGAACTACAAAGTGCTCATATATAGTAAGTGGAGCTGATAAAATGGGGAGTAAAAGTCCCTCTCTGGTTCCCATCTACGGCCGGGAACTAGAAAAATAGCGTCATTAAAAACGTCATTGTTGGGTATAAATTATTCGGTCTTTTCAGTTATTCTTGGAAAGTAGTGATGAAGATAACGGAGCATTTTGATATGAAACATATGAGGATCATGTTGTATGAAGAGCCTTTAAAGGAGAGTTTAAGAAGAGATGAACAAATCGAGAGAATGAGCTCAGAACCTAGAGGGTTAAAGCTCAATGCCATCTCGGGCCGAGTCGGGCCGAGTGAAATCTGTCAGGGATGTGTGTAAACATCAGTCCATTCTCCTTCCAGATGAAGAGGTCGGGGGTCATAAAGGAATGGAGTCGTTTATAAATCACCCAGAGTTTAAGAAGCTTAACGTCGGCTTCGCCCTGGACGAAGGTAAATAAATGACCCGTCGAGCTGCTCTTTAACAGGTCGGTGTGCACATTATAGCAACTTCTCTGCACAAACACACCAGATTCAGCTCCTCTGTTCAAGTTTAACCCTTAACAGTCCAGAGTGTTTATTATGGACATTCTGGTTCACACTGGATTACATTAAATAATTATTTAAATGTGATTGGATAATTAACAGTAACCTTTGGATCGCTATATATTGATTAGTTAGCATTCCTGTTAGCCTATGTGCTCTTGTTTAACCGTTAGAAGTCTAGTTATTGCCATTTTTGCTATATATTTTACAATTGTTTATATATAATTGCATAATTATATAATTAATTGTACAGTTAATTTCACAATGAATTACATTAACATCCAAATTACCTTCTGTATCAACAGGTTTAAGTCTTCGCTGACTTTTTCTGTTTCTTTCGGTTTAAAAAATAATGAGAAAAAAGTAAAAAGCTGCAAATCGAGACTGCTCATGCAATAGTAGTAGTAGTAGTAGTAGTAGTAGTAATAATAATAATAATAATATTTATTTATGTGGCACTTTTAATGCCGGTGGCAGCTCAAAGTGCTTTGCAGACAGATGATAAAGCTTAACAGTAATATAAGAAATTCTAAGTATTAATTTAGCATCATATAAGAAAATGACAGATCAGATTAAAGTGATAAACACCAAAGAGTCGTAGAGTTTTAATGAAGCTCTGAGTTAAAGAGAGACGTTTTCAGATGTTTATTAAAAGTGAGCTCTGAGCTCGACTATCTATAAGAGCTGAACTGAGCTCCACAGTTTAGAGGCAGAATAACTGAAAGAGTCTCTCCACGTTTTCTGTGTTTTACTGAAGGTGTTGAGAAGGTCAGAATCTGCAGATCTGAGATCATAAACAGACATTCAGGAGCTTTAAGGTCATTTAGAGCTTTAAAAACCAGCAGCAGAGCTTTACAGTCTGTCCTGAACGGTACAGACAGCCAGTGCGGCTCTTCTAAAACGGGAGTGATCTGATCTCTCTGGTTAGTTTTTGTTAGGATGCGCAATCATTTTTTCATATTCAAACCATGATAAAATGTCTTCACTTCTGCTTACAAAACCCAATCAGCGTGAATATCAAATCAGTCAGTTCTGGAGTTTGACACCCCAGACTGACACTTTCAGAAGTGACTGATTGTCCATGTGTTCGTTATTAAGCTACACCAAAGAACAGTTGCAGTCTGCAGCGTATTACGCTCAGACCTAGTGAAATATTCAACAGCACAATCCACAGCAACAGCTCTCTGATCTAAATTATTCAGAAATGCTGCACCACTAACTCCAGTTCACTTACAGTTCACAGAGCAGGTTTCAGACCACAGATTAAAGTCAGACTGAAACCTGAACCCACCTGTTTCACCTTAGTTAAACCTTAAAACCCTAGTAAGTTCTATTAAACTACTGCTAAACTACTAGACCAGTGAAGCAGTTCTAAATTACGTCACTTTTTTTTCATTTCTGCTTTATTCAAATAATCTAATAAGACATTCAGTGCTGTGAACAAGTATGTGCCCCCTTCCCAATTTCTCCAGTTTTTGCATATTTTTCACAACTGAATGTTTCAGATCATCAGACTCCTTTTGATATTAGACAATGAGAACCTATGTAGATTTTTCAATGATGATTTCATTTACTGAAGGAAAAATGGATGTTCAGCCCTACCTGCCCCCTTAGCTACTAAATCAACTAGTTAATCAAACTGAATTGACTATTATTTCACTATCCACACTCAGGTATGATCACAGCCACACTGTTAACATCACTTAAATAGAGCCTGTCTGGCACTGTGAAGCAGCTAGAAGGTCTCAAAAAGCAATACATGCTGCCACGTTCTAAAGAGATTCAAATACAGATGCGGAACAAAGACAGTGAAATCTGCCAGCCTGGAAAGGGTTATAAAGCCATAGCTGAGGCTCTGGGACTCCAGAGAACCACAGTGAGATCCGTTATCCACAAATGGAGAAAGCTTAAAACAGTGGTGAACCTTCCCAGGAGTGGCTGGCCTACCAAAATTTCTATGCAGTTTTCATTACATTATATAATATATTATTATATTGTACATATGTATGTTATATTAGCACCAAGCTAGCGGTGATGTATATTTGTAACAGCCACTCAAGTAACTTTGTTATTGAAGGGAACTGTTCACTTGTTAGCTACCTGGCTCAATAGTGTTAGTGGGCTGCAATGAAGATTTTCAAGCAATATGAGGTCAAGAATGTTGGGTTAAAATTGTTCCGTTAAATTTAAATGAATGCACACAGTTTTGTCAAATAAAATACAGGGAGATTCACTCGAAAGAGGCCCCGAATATTCTGTTGTAACTCCCATTAGGATGAAGCAATAAAAAACGCTATATACCTTGATGTATGTGTAATCGATTTCACTACATAAGATGCTGGAAGTGAGCTCCGTTTTCTGCCAGACACATGAAGGGCTACGGGATTATGCACCCGGCAGTTGCAAATTGAGGTTAAACGTGGTGACGGCTGTCCAACGGCTACCTCATCACTCTGACACAGGGGCATCCCGGCTTGTTGGAAGCTCCATATACTGAGGAGCTCATTGCACATGGTTTCATATAGATTGCTTCGTCCTAGAGAGAGTTATTACAGAATATTCGGGGCCTCTTTCAAGTGAATCTCCCTGTAATTCACTATTTCGTCAGAGGAAAGATTCAGCAGGGTGATTATAACTAAAATAGATGACAGTTTAACTTAATAAACATACAGCTCAGCGTAAAGTGTTCAGAACAGCCCTGAGCTTCATCTGAACTGCCTTAAGTTGAGTCAAATGACGGCTCTCTAACACAGGAATCTAACTGTGGCCTGAGTTCGGCCTGTGTTGCACTTTGTGAGTGTAAGATGTGCGTTTCATGTCCGTGTGTTTGTCCGGCAGGTCTGGCGAACCCCACTGAAGCGTTCACTGTGTTTTATGGAGAGAGAAACCCCTGGTGTAAGTGCACACTCCTCCTCTATTAATCAGATGCTGTTAACATGTTTGTGTTGTGGTTCCGCCCCTTGTAGCAGTTCGCAGCTGACGGTGGTGCAAACATTGGCACGGTGACCGCAGTGCTAACGAAAATGGATGATTATCAGGGGAGAGAATTTTCAGTGTAGATTGTTTGTTTATTTATGGTGGAGAAAAGCTGAAAGAAGCTCTCTACTCTTTTATATTTGTTGCATAATACTGGGTGTTTCAAAAAGAGTTTTATGTAGAACCCGAAAAGGTTTTTTATGCAGCACATTTTTAAGAACCTTTTCATGTTGGAAAGAACCCTTTAATCATGCAAAGGGTTCTTTGAGTGTTCATGGTTCTACAGGGTGATTCAAAAAGATGAATCTGATTTCAAAGAGCCATATTTTTACAACCGTGAGGCGCCTAGGAACCAATCACAATCCAATTGAAAGAGGGGGTCATAGAGTTTCTGACTGTCAGTGGAAGACGGCTCCCTTCAGTCTGAGAGACGATGAGACCCCTGAGCAGAAAGCGTTCTGCGTTCTCCACTTCAATAAGAGTGAATCAGTCATAACTGTGCAGTGTGATTTTCGTGGGCAGTGAAGCTCCAACAGCTCAGAGCGTTTGTTGTTGGTTCCACAACACTGGATGATCTCCGAAATCGCACTGAAAGAGCCGCGAGTGCAGCGACACCCGACATGCTCAATCCAGTATGGGATGAATCTGACTATGGCGTTGATGTTGTCTGTACAGCTGGAGGAGGTTCATACTGAGACCTTGTACAATTACATAATAAACTTTATGCTCATTTAAACCATTTACAGTTCACTGCATTGATCTGTAATGATTTACAAATAAATCATTTTGAAATCTGATGAGTCTTTTTGAATCACCCTGTATATTGAACCGTGCCTGGTTTGTTCACAGCTGCAGTTCAGAAATCGTGTCAGAATGTTCCACAGTTTGGTTGTTTGTTCTCATGGTGTCGGTGTGTAACGACCTTCGCTCTGTTTGGCGCAGCAGCGTAACTGAAATGTGCTGAGACTGTGATCGTGTGTCCTGTAGGGATCACTGTCCGGTGTCCAGGCAGTCCAGGGCACGGCTCCAGGTTTGTGGAGAACACAGCTGCTGAAAAACTGGTGAGTAACTGTTTACCTGCATCTGAGGGTCTGTCTGTTATTTGAATTTGAATTCCAAAATTTGTTGGAAAAATATTAGAGAAACAAAAATTAAAAAAAGATACATAAACTCAGTATTTCTCTGGGCTCTTAAACAATGAAAATAATTCCTTGCAATTAATCACATTATTTTGCAGTTAATCGTGATTAATCATATTTTTCTTATTTGCTCAAATTTGAGCCTTAAAATTTAAAAACAGTACATTTTTATAAGTTTATGAGTGAACTAAATAAGCTTCATCAGAATATATTTATTACTCTCAGTAATTCAGTAACGCTACTTTCATTGTGTGAACACAGAACCTGAACATGAAAATCTTGTGATGTCCACAGAGTGAACTCAGTTCCCAATTTTCATCGCCAGTGAGAGCAACAGTGTCTGCATGTTCCAACCAAAGAGTGTATATATCATATATATGCAGTAAATGAGTGTATATTCTCTATAGTCGATGAGTGTATATCATATTTCATGTATGCAGTAAATGAGTGCATTTATCATATATATCATATGCAGTAAATTAGTGTATATATCATATCAAATATATAGTAAATGAGTGTATATACTGTATATATCAAAGATATAGTAAATGAGTGTATGTATCATATATATCAAATATACCGTAAATGAGTATATAGATCAAATATATAGTATTGGACCAAACCTCGTATCTACAAAATTATAACTTTACAGGAGACGGGAAAAACTTTTTTTATTTTTGATGTAAGTCAATGGAACCAGACATTTTTCCAAGTAATTCTGGGTCAATTCTTTTGGTCCATTCATCTTGAAATTTACACATAATATAAAGGACAGTAGGTATTTTCAAATTATGTCAAAATCTGAAAAATGACAAAAATGGAGAGACATATCAAATATACAGTCAGTGAGTGTATAAATCATATATATATATCAAATATGCACTCACTGAGTGTATATATCATATAGGTCATATATACAGTCCACAGTTATTAATAATTTACTACATTAATGCTTTATTAACATGATCTTTAACAGCCCTACTGTTAACATTAACATGATTAGTAATATCTCTGTGATTAATAATGTTTAACTCTAACAGCTGGACATGCATCGCGTTCTTCATTGAACATGCCTGACTCCACCTGTGGCAGCAGCCTTTTCCATTTAGGCTAATAACATTTTGATAAATTCCACAATTTACGCTAATCACCCAGTTTATGTTTCTACATTTCTATTCTGTTCTGTACCAAAAGGTAAGTCACTGCCTCTGCACTGCCCCCTAGAGGAGACATTACAGTACAGCAGTTAGTTTGTCAAAGAGCATAACTTAAAATTTTGCTTAATTGTTTTTTAGACTTTTATTATTATTTGAAAGTTCTGAAGTCTTGGTTTGAAGTGACGGATTTTCTCCTGTTGTGTTTTGCAGCGCAGGATCATTAACTCGTTCCTGGACTTCAGAGAGAGAGAGAAGCAGCGGTGAGAGCGCTGAAGACGTTTTACCATCTGTGTTTTGTTTGTTTGTTTGTTTTTATACCGATGTGTTCTTTTTCAGGTTGGACACGTCCGAGTGTTTCACGCTGGGTGATGTCACCACTGTTAACATGACGATGGTGAATGGAGGCGTGGCTTATAACGTGATCCCTGCAGAGATGGACGTGAGCTTTGATATGAGGATTCCGCCCACTGTCAATCTGCAGGTGAGCGCGACTGTGTGGCCTTTTCATTAGATCTTCACACCAAACATCCACATCCTTTAGACAGGTGATATTCAAATACCCCAAAAGAGAATATTTTACATCGGCAATAATAAAAAATCAGAGTATGGAAGGTTTAAGGTTTGGAGGTATGGGAAGGTTTGTTTGTTTATTGTGAACAGCTAAAATAAGATCCATGAGCTGATTCAGTGATTTATCTTTGCGTTTACGCAGACTTAGTGATTTATCTTTGCGCTTTAGGCCGATTTAGTGATTTATCTTTGCGCTTTAGGCCGATTTAGTGATTTATCTTTGCGCTTTAGGCTGATTTAGTGATTTTGCGCTTTAGGCCGATTTAGTGATTTATCTTTGCGTTTACGCAGACTTAGTGATTTATCTTTGCGCTTTAGGCCGATTTAGTGATTTATCTTTGCGCTTTAGGCCGATTTAGTGATTTATCTTTGCGCTTTAGGCCGATTTAGTGATTTATCTTTGCGCTTTAGGCTGATTTAGTGATTTTGCGCTTTAGGCCGATTTAGTGATTTATCTTTGCGCTTTAGGCCGATTTAGTGATTTATCTTTGCGCTTTAGGCCGATTTAGTGATTTATCTTTGTAGTTTAGGCCGATTTAGTGATTTATCTTTGCGCTTTAGGCCGATTTAGTGATTTATCTTTGTAGTTTACGCTGATTTATTGATTTATCTTTGCGCTTTAGGCCGATTTAGTGATTTATCTTTGTAGTTTAGGCCGATTTAGTGATTTATCTTTGCGCTTTAGGCCGATTTAGTGATTTATCTTTGCGCTTTAGGCTGATTTAGTGATTTTGCGCTTTAGGCTGATTTAGTGATTTATCTTTGCGCTTTAGGCCGATTTAGTGATTTATCTTTGTAGTTTAGGCTGATTTATTGATTTATCTTTGCGCTTTAGGCCGATTTAGTGATTTATCTTTGCGCTTTAGGCCGATTTAGTGATTTATCTTTGTAGTTTAGGCCGATTTAGTGATTTATCTTTGCGCTTTAGGCCGATTTAGTGATTTATCTTTGTAGTTTAGGCTGATTTATTGATTTATCTTTGCGCTTTAGGCCGATTTATTGATTTATCTTTGTAGTTTAGGCCGATTAGTGATTTATCTTTGCGCTTTAGGCCGATTTAGTGATTTATCTTTGCGCTTTAGGCTGATTTAGTGATTTATCTTTGCGCTTTAGGCCGATTTAGTGATTTTGCGCTTTAGGCTGATTTAGTGATTTATCTTTGCGCTTTAGGCCGATTTAGTGATTTATCTTTGTAGTTTAGGCCGATTTAGTGATTTATCTTTGCGCTTTAGGCCGATTTAGTGATTTATCTTTGCGCTTTAGGCTGATTTAGTGATTTATCTTTGCGCTTTAGGCCGATTTAGTGATTTTGCGCTTTAGGCTGATTTAGTGATTTATCTTTGCGCTTTAGGCCGATTTAGTGATTTATCTTTGCGCTTTAGGCCGATTTAGTGATTTATCTTTGTAGTTTAGGCTGATTTATTGATTTATCTTTGCGCTTTATGCCGATTTAGTGATTTATCTTTGTAGTTTAGGCCGATTTAGTGATTTATCTTTGCGCTTTAGGCTGATTTAGTGATTTATCTTTGCGCTTTAGGCTGATTAGTGATTTATCTTTGCGCTTTAGGCCGATTTAGTGATTTATCTTTGTAGTTTAGGCCGATTTAGTGATTTATCTTTGCGCTTTAGGCCGATTTAGTGATTTATCTTTGCGCTTTAGGCTGATTTATTGATTTTTGTAGTTTAGGCTGATTTAGTGATTTATCTTTGCGCTTTAGGCCGATTAGTGATTTATCTTTGTAGTTTAGGCTGATTTATTGATTTATCTTTGCGCTTTAGGCCGATTTAGTGATTTATCTTTGCGCTTTAGGCCGATTTAGTGATTTATCTTTGTAGTTTAGGCCGATTTAGTGATTTATCTTTGTAGTTTAGGCTGATTTATTGATTTATCTTTAGGCGATTTAGTGATTTATCTTTGCGCTTTAGGCTGATTTAGTGATTTATCTTTGCGCTTTAGGCCGATTTAGTGATTTTGCGCTTTAGGCTGATTTAGTGATTTATCTTTGCGCTTTAGGCCGATTTAGTGATTTATCTTTGTAGTTTAGGCCGATTTAGTGATTTATCTTTGCGCTTTAGGCCGATTTAGTGATTTATCTTTGCGCTTTAGGCTGATTTAGTGATTTATCTTTGCGCTTTAGGCCGATTTAGTGATTTTGCGCTTTAGGCTGATTTAGTGATTTATCTTTGCGCTTTAGGCCGATTTAGTGATTTATCTTTGCGCTTTAGGCCGATTTAGTGATTTATCTTTGTAGTTTAGGCTGATTTATTGATTTATCTTTGCGCTTTAGGCTGATTTAGTGATTTATCTTTGCGCTTTAGGCTGATTTAGTGATTTATCTTTGCGCTTTAGGCTGATTTAGTGATTTATCTTTGTAGTTTAGGCCGATTTAGTGATTTATCTTTGCGCTTTAGGCCGATTTAGTGATTTATCTTTGCGCTTTAGGCTGATTTATTGATTTTTGTAGTTTAGGCTGATTTAGTGATTTATCTTTGCGCTTTAGGCCGATTTAGTGATTTATCTTTGTAGTTTAGGCTGATTTATTGATTTATCTTTGCGCTTTAGGCCGATTTAGTGATTTATCTTTGCGCTTTAGGCCGATTTAGTGATTTATCTTTGTAGTTTAGGCCGATTTAGTGATTTATCTTTGTAGTTTAGGCTGATTTATTGATTTATCTTTAGGCCGATTTAGTGATTTATCTTTGCGCTTTAGGCTGATTTAGTGATTTATCTTTGCGCTTTAGGCCGATTTAGTGATTTTGCACTTTAGGCTGATTTAGTGATTTATCTTTGCGCTTTAGGCCGATTTAGTGATTTATCTTTGTAGTTTAGGCCGATTTAGTGATTTATCTTTGTAGTTTAGGCTGATTTATTGATTTATCTTTGCGCTTTAGGCCGATTTAGTGATTTATCTTTGCGCTTTAGGCCGATTTATTGATTTATCTTTGTAGTTTAGGCCGATTTAGTGATTTATCTTTGTAGTTTAGGCTGATTTATTGATTTATCTTTGCGCTTTAGGCCTATTTAGTGATTTATCTTTGTAGTTTAGGCCGATTTAGTGATTTATCTTTGCGCTTTAGGCCGATTTAGTGATTTATCTTTGTAGTTTAGGCTGATTTATTGATTTATCTTTGCGCTTTAGGCTGATTTAGTGATTTATCTTTGTAGTTTAGGCCGATTTAGTGATTTATCTTTGCGCTTTAGGCCGATTTAGTGATTTATCTTTGCGCTTTAGGCTGATTTAGTGATTTATCTTTGCGCTTTAGGCCGATTTAGTGATTTATCTTTGCGCTTTAGGCTGATTTAGTGATTTTGCGCTTTAGGCGATTTAGTGATTTATCTTTGCGCTTTAGGCCGATTTAGTGATTTATCTTTGTAGTTTAGGCCGATTTAGTGATTTATCTTTGCGCTTTAGGCCGATTTAGTGATTTTGCGCTTTAGGCTGATTTAGTGATTTATCTTTGCGCTTTAGGCCGATTTAGTGATTTATCTTTGCGCTTTAGGCCGATTTAGTGATTTATCTTTGTAGTTTAGGCTGATTTATTGATTTATCTTTGCGCTTTAGGCCGATTTAGTGATTTATCTTTGTAGTTTAGGCTGATTTAGTGATTTATCTTTGCGCTTTAGGCCGATTTAGTGATTTATCTTTGTAGTTTAGGCCGATTTAGTGATTTATCTTTGCGCTTTAGGCCGATTTAGTGATTTATCTTTGCGCTTTAGGCTGATTTAGTGATTTTTGTAGTTTAGGCTGATTTAGTGATTTATCTTTGCGCTTTAGGCCGATTTAGTGATTTATCTTTGTAGTTTAGGCCGATTTAGTGATTTATCTTTGCGCTTTAGGCTGATTTAGTGATTTTATCTTTGCGCTTTAGGCCGATTTAGTGATTTTGCACTTTAGGCTGATTTAGTGATTTATCTTTGCGCTTTAGGCCGATTTAGTGATTTATCTTTGCGCGTTAGGCCGATTTATTGATTTATCTTTGTAGTTTAGGCCGATTTAGTGATTTATCTTTGTAGTTTAGGCTGATTTATTGATTTATCTTTGCGCTTTAGGCCTATTTAGTGATTTATCTTTGTAGTTTAGGCCGATTTAGTGATTTATCTTTGCGCTTTAGGCCGATTTAGTGATTTATCTTTGCGCTTTAGGCCGATTTAGTGATTTATCTTTGTAGTTTAGGCCGATTTAGTGATTTATCTTTGTAGTTTAGGCTGATTTAGTGATTTATCTTTGCGCTTTAGGCTGATTTAGTGATTTTGCGCTTTAGGCCGATTTAGTGATTTATCTTTGCGCTTTAGGCCGATTTAGTGATTTATCTTTGCGCTTTAGGCCGATTTATCTTTGCGCTTTAGGCCGATTTAGTGATTTATCTTTGCGCTTTAGGCCGATTTATCTTTGCGCTTTAGGCCGATTTAGTGATTTATCTTTGCGCTTTAGGCCGATTTAGTGATTTATCTTTGCGTTTTAGGCCGATTTAGTGATTTATCTTTGTAGTTTAGACAGATTCAGTGATTTATCTTTGCGTTTTAGGCTGATTTAGTGATTTATCTTTGCGTTTTAGGTCGGTTTCTTTGTGCTTTAGGCTGATTTATCTTTGCGCTTTAGGCCACTTTACTGATTCATCTTTAAGTTTTACGTTTCAGCATTACACTCTTTCAAGCAATTATTTATACATCACATTCATCTTTTATTCTAAACCACACATGCCTCATATGAACACTGCATTAATAGTAAATAAATAGAAAAGTATAAATAGTAAATTGAGCTCATTTATTCTGTGTATTGGAAAAGCTGCTCTTGACCCCAGTGTTAAATCAGAGGACCCCCTGATCTGTTCAGTGCTTTGACCCTTCAGTACTACTTTGTGTTTTCCCTGTTCTAAAATAATTGGCTGGGCTCTGAACGTGGTGTGTGTGTGTGTTTCTCTGTGTGTGTGTGTGTGTGTGTGTGTTTCTCTGTGTGTGTGTGTGTGTGTGTGTGTGTGTGTGTGTGTGTGTGTGTGTTTCTCTGTGTGTGTGTGTGTGTGTGTGTGTGTGTGTTTCTCTGTGTGTGTGTGTGTGTGTGTGTTTCTCTGTGTGTGTGTGTGTGTGTGTGTTTTTCTGTGTGTGTGTGTGTGTGTGTGTGTGTGTTTCTCTGTGTGTGTGTGTTTCTCTGTGTGTGTGTGTGTGTGTGTGTGTGTGTTTCTGTGTGTGTGTGTGTGTGTGTGTGTGTGTTTCTGTGTGTGTGTGTGTTTCTCTGTGTGTGTGTGTGTGTGTGTGTGTTTCTCTGTGTGTGTGTGTGTGTGTGTGTTTTTCTCTGTGTGTGTGTTTTTCTCTGTGTGTGTGTTTTTCTCTGTGTGTGTTTCTGTGTGTGTGTGTGTGTGTGTGTGTGTGTTTCTCTGTGTGTGTGTGTGTGTGTGTGTTTCTCTGTGTGTGTGTGTGTGTGTGTGTGTTTCTCTCTGTGTGTGTGTGTGTGTGTGTGTGTGTTTCTCTGTGTGTGTGTGTGTGTGTGTGTGTGTGTGTGTTTCTGTGTGTGTGTTTCTGTGTGTGTGTGTGTGTGTGTGTGTGTGTGTTTCTCTGTGTGTGTGTGTGTTTCTGTGTGTGTGTGTGTGTGTGTGTTTCTCTGTGTGTGTGTGTGTGTGTGTGTTTCTCTGTGTGTGTGTGTGTGTGTGTGTGTTTCTGTGTGTGTGTGTGTGTGTGTGTGTGTGTGTGTGTGTTTCTGTGTGTGTGTGTGTGTGTGTGTGTGTGTGTGTGTTTCTGTGTGTGTGTGTGTGTGTGTGTTTCTCTGTGTGTGTGTGTGTGTGTGTGTGTGTGTGTTTCTCTGTGTGTGTGTGTGTGTGTGTGTGTGTGTTTCTGTGTGTGTGTGTGTGTGTGTGTGTGTGTGTGTGTGTGTGTGTGTGTTTCTGTGTGTGTGTGTGTGTGTGTGTGTGTGTTTCTCTGTGTGTGTGTGTGTGTGTGTGTGTGGTGTGTGTGTGTGTGTGTTTCTCTGTGTGTGTGTGTGTGTGTGTGTGTGTTTCTCTGTGTGTGTGTGTGTGTGTGTGTGTGTGTGTTCCTGCAGGAGTTCGAGGAGCAGATTAAGGCCTGGTGCGCTGAGGCTGGTGAGGGCATCACATACGAGTTTGCACAGGTCAGTGAAAACCACAGCCATAAAATCTGATCCAGTTACAGGCTGTTCAGGTCAGTAACATATTCTGTTTGTTTTCTTTGACTCTTAACAGAAATTTATGCACCAGAACACCACGTCCACGGAGGACAGCGACCCCTGGTGGAAAGCTTTCAGTTCTACCTGCAAAGCCTTGTAAGAAAGCTTAACTCGCTCTAATAGAGACTGCAGTGTTCTGTCATTGAAGCAAAGCCAGATAACTCCAGGCATGACGAAGCTCTTCGTTGTTTAAGGGATTGTTTTTGCCTAAAATCAAATATGCACAATTGGAATTGCCAGATTTTTGCTCCAAACATGCCACTGGCAGTTCATCCTCTTGGAATTATGAGGTTCTATCTGGGTTCTGAGCAGTTTTACTTTATTAGCCTCAAAGATTTGTAATTCCAAATATCAAAACTGATATGTGGAACACGTCTCTTTATACATGACAATGACAGACACCCTAAATATATTCTAAATGTTCGAAATCAACATCCTATCAAATTTCTAAATGAGTGTTTTTGAACAGATCAAATGCAGAGAGAACCTTCTAATCCTAAGAACTCACTTTCCGCTTGCAATTATAAGGTTCTATCTGGTCTGATATCCAAGGACCACAAACAGTTTATACTTGTAATTTGTTTTAAAACATAAAATTAGTGTAACAGAATGTCTGCATTATCAGAAAGTTCAATTTAATGCTTTCTATGACTTTTATGACATTTATTTTATCATTTATTTATTTTTTAGAACTTTTATTTCTTGTTTTAGGACAAATCATCTGTTTCTTATTCAGAAAGCATTGATTAAGTTTAAAGATCAGTGCTAAATATTTTGTCCAGTTCAGACGTCAGTTTTAGGTAAGTTTCCTTTATATTAGACAAACAGCTACTGTAATAAACTGTCCCAGCAGGTCAGTGTAGCGGGTCAGTCTAAAGGCAGTGTGAGGTTTAGTTTTATATCAGAAATGTGACTCTAATGAGTCTTATTTCGGAGAAAGAGGAGAAAGAAAAGATGGAAGAAAGAATGAAATTAATGTTTATGTTGTAATTAAGAGCCATCAGTTAATATGTTCACTATTTATTGACATTTAGGCTTAATATTTATAACATGTTTTCATGTTTTATAAAGTTTTATAAACTTTTCCTGCCCTCACTGAGCAGAGCGGTCCCATGACATAGAATACACAAGAGGACCAATCAGGTTCTGCTTCTAAGTGCTGATTGGCTCGCAGATAGAACCTTATAGAACTAAATTAGAGTTTAACTTTGAAGAAAAAAGCTTTTTTTCTAGATGAAGAATCTAAAAATGCAGAAAACTCCTGACATAATGTTAAGAAATTGTCACAGAATAAGAATATGATATAAGAATATGTGAATACCTCAGTTAACTCTGACAAAAATGTCAGGTAGAACCTGTAATTCCAAGGAGACGAGTTGGCTAATTTATTTCTTTTTTTAATTTTGGCCGATCTGTGCTGCAGTTTTATGATGTAAATAATGAGACTCAGGTAAAGTCGCACTTGATAAAAATCAATAAAACTTAAATTCATAATCAGTTACTTTCCTAATAATGTTTTTCTACTAAATTGGACAAATATGGAAAAAACACCAGGCTTTCAGATACTGTTATTAGCGATGTGCACTATTTGGGTGTAGAAGCCGTGTTTCATGCCTTATCTAGTGCACTATATAGTGAATATGGGGCCGTTTGACATTCAGCCTATAAGTATCTGTCACTCAAACAGAGCGACTCTCACTCCTCTGCTGACCTCCCAGACATTTCGGTGCTGAAACGTTGCGATGTGTCTCTGACAGGAACATGACGCTGGAGAAGGAGATTTTTCCAGCTGCCACAGACAGTCGCTTCATCAGGGCGGTGAGTGGCTGCTGCTGTTAGCATTTCAACAGCACTTCATCTTCACTAGCCGAGCTCATTTCATTAGCGTCGCGCTCGCTTCAGCGTGGAAGATCATACGTCTCCATTTCTGTCTGCAGATTGGAGGAGACTGACTGAGACAAATGAGCAAAGCTAGAAATGTTGTTCTATATTTATGTTCCTGAGGGATGCGGGAATATAATGGGTGTGTGTGTGTGTGTGTGTGTGTGTGTGTGTGTGTGTGTGTGTGTGTGTGTGTGCTGCATGGTAATGTGTGCACACTTCAGTAGATAGAAGCTACTACTGGCTTTATATTTGAATAGATACAACATTTAGTGGATAAGATTAATTGTCGTATAAAACCTTGTATGTACAAAGAAATTTACAAGAAAGTAAAATATGACAAAAATGGAGATACACATGTTTTTGCTCAAGAGTAACAATATATATTTTTCTATTTGATTTATTTCTCTATGATTCATTCAGGCCTCCTTACCAACTGTCTTAGGTTTCCTCAAAGGGGAATTCCACTGATGTTTTCAAAATTCTGCATAGTTCAGTGTGTGAGATGTAAACAGAGAGGTTCAGAGCGGTTTGGTGTGAAATGGTTCAGATGTCTTTACAGTGGTGGTGATAGGAACCAGGGGTCGCCATGACTACAACCACAGATATAGACATTTTATTTACTATCCAAAACCACCAGTGAACCTACACGAGTCTTCTGAGTTTATATGGAATGTTGATGATGGAAAATAGTGGAAAATCTGAAATAATAAGTTTTCTTTGGGGACTATTTTGCCTCACAGCGCCCTGCATGTATCCCTCCACCATGAATGGATTTTAAGTTCTCAAAGCGATCATAAATCAGTGTCTCAGTCATCAGGCAGTGAATTCATCACCATTTCATCTAGGAACTTTCTGTGAGGGAGCTTTTAGAGGTGGACGTCTGGTTCCTATCACCACCACTGTGAACAGTTCTGACTTGGTCAGTTTCTCTAGAACTGAGCGTTTCACACCAAACCACTCTGAACGACTCTGTTTACATCTTAACCACTTAAATTATGCAGAAATTTGAAAAAAATGGTGGAAAATGCTCCTTTAAGTTGGTCAGTTGGTCATTGACGATGGCACATAAGCTGCCCTGTAGTTTAATCCCTGTGTGTGTGTGTGTGTGTGTGTGTGTGTGTGTGTGTGTGTGTGTGTGTGTGTGTGTGTGTGTAGGTGGGTTTGCCTGCTATTGGATTTTCCCCAATGAACCGCACCCCCATCCTCCTCCACGACCACAACGAGTTCCTGAATGAGGAAGTGTTTCTGAGGGGCATCACAGTGTATGAGAGGCTGCTGCCCGCGCTGACCGCCATACCAGCACAGAGTGGAGAGGAATAAACACACACATACACGTAAACACACTGCCTGTCCCCTCCTTTCTACACTCACTGTCCACTTTATCAGCTCCACTGACCGTATAGTTTCACTCTGTAGTTCTACAGTTACAGACTGTGGGTCCATCTGTTTCTCTGCACTGTTCTTCAATGGTCAGGACCCCCATGGACCCTCACAGAGCAGGTACTATTTGGGTGGTGGATCATTCTCAGCACTGCAGTAACACTGACGTGGTGGTGTGTTAGTGTGTGTTGTGCTGGTCTGAGTGGATCAGACACAGCAGTGCTGCTGGAGTTTTTAAACACCTCAGTGTCACTGCTGGACTGAGAATAGTCCACCAACCAAAAATATCCAGCCAACAGCGTCCTGTGGGCAGCGTCCTGTGACCACTGATGAAGGACTAGAGGATGACCAACAACAAACTGTGCAGCAGATGAGCTACAGTCTCTGACTTTACATCTACACGGTGGACTGACAAGGTAGGAGTGTCTAATAGAGTGGACAGTGGGTGGACACTGTTTAAAATGTCCAGCAGCACTGCTGTGACGGTGGCCGTTGGTGTATCGCTGTCATGCAGCAACCTTGGATCTCCATTTCTGTTGTTTTTACTTTTTGGCAGAATTTTAAAATTTCATTTACTGAACGATTTGTTTTAAAATTTCATGATGACCAACAGAAACGGTCCAGAGTTCCATTACAGATGACTAATGTCTTTTTTTCCTTCGAGATTTAAGGTTGTTTTCTGACCGCAGTACAGTACTGTGCAAAAGTTTTGGCACCCTGAGGAAGTTGTATTTACAGAGCTGTTTATCTGGGCAGTAATATTAGAATAAATATAAGTAACATTGATGCAGTAAGTAATGGTTTTATGTATGTCAGTGTTTTTGTTTAAACATTTAATCAGCATTATTATTCATAATAGTAACACTGTTATTGTCCGATTTATATTCTCCTTCTTTTCTTATTTTTTGTTAGCGCACAAAGATCTATCTCATACCACAGTTTTCGAGATATTGACACCGTTCCAACTCCGGAATGTTCAGTCTGGTCAGGAATGGTGTGCTTGTATACAGCTTTTGATCCGATGTACGGTTTTCGTACAATCTGAGTTAATTGCCGAATTTTTTCCATAGGAATGAATGGGGGAAAAATTGAATGGCCATCTTCTGAACTTCTGCTTGACCGAAAACATTTCTTTCACGTATACTACCTCAGGGCAGGCCCCAGAGCATAAATTCAATCTTGTTCTGACCCGCACTCATCCGTTTGTCATTTTTTTCTCATCCCTCATTCCTTCCATAGACCTCCATTCATTTTTTGCCCAGCAGCCCATAGACTCCCTGCCCAACAGCCACCAAAATGTAGGTACTCACTCAGGGCAGGCCCCCAAGCTCTAATCCACAGCCACACTCACCTGCACTCCTCTATGTGAAGTTTTTCATCCCTCTTTCCTCCCATAGACTTCCATTCATTTTTGCCCCCACACAAGCCTTATACTTTCCCTAGCCTTTCCTTAGCCTCTACTCACTCAGAGCAGGCTTGAATAAAGAGATCTAGTTTTTATAGTGTTTTACTGATAGGGGCGGGGTTATGCTAAGTGTGGCTCTAGTTTTTATATCGTTATAGTATTGGGGGCGGAGTTATGCTAAGTATGGCTCTAGTTTTTATATTGTTATAGTGTTGGGGGCGGGGTTATGCTAAATATGGCTCTAGTTTTATAGCGTTATAGTGTTGGGGGCGGGGTTATGCTAAGTATGGCTCTAGTTTTATAGCGTTATAGTGTTGGGGGCGGGGTTATGCTAAGTATGGCTCTAGTTTTATAGCGTTATAGTGTTGGGGGCGGGGTTATGCTAAGTATGGCTCTAGTTTTATAGCGTTATAGTGTTGGGGGCGGGGTTATGCTAAGTATGGCTCTAGTTTTATAGCGTTATAGTGTTGGGGGCGGGGTTATGCTGTGTGTGGCTCTAGTTTTATAGCGTTATAGTGTTGGGGGCGGGGTTATGCTGTGTGTGGCTCATGTTTTCAGCAGTTGTTTTCTGATACATAAAGTGTTTAGAAACAAATCTCTGAATTTACTTTACACAGACTTTAAATTAAACAGCTGCTGCTGATGAAATTTTTAAAAATTGCTGTTGCTGTCCAAAGAAAAACAAGTACCTCCAAAATGACAACTTTACAGGAGAAGGCAAAAATGTTCATTTCAATGTAAGACAATGGAAAGAGATTTCATTCCAAGCAATTTTGGACAATTTCTGTTGATCCAGGTATCAAATAAAATAAAAACTGAGAAAAATGGAGATGCATGTTTTTCTTTGGACAGCAACGGAATATATGTGATGTCTGGAACTCTGCTCTTCAAACTAGCTCACCAAATATCAACATTTTGTTTGTTTTGTTAAAAAGGGAATGCATGTTAATTTTACTTATGTTTATTTGCATCTATGCTAATGACAGATGGTGATTTTACAAGCAGATAAATGGTTGTAAACGATGCGCTTTTGTGCCTGAGACCTTTGCACAGTACTGTACATACAGCCTTAGGCAAAACTGACCCCCCCCCGTCAACAACACAGGCAGTTTGTCTTTCCTTCTCTCACACACTCTCTCTGGTTCTTTTCATCTCTGTTTTATTTTCAAGGTTTAGTCACTGTAGCACGGACTCCTCTTTGCTTTTCTGTATTTCTTTTATCATTTTTTTTTCCTTTATCTCTTCCTTTAGTTTTCTCTCCCTCTCCCTCTGTTTTCCTTCTCCAAGGCTGAAGACCTGTAGCACTCTTTCTTGCCCCCCCCTTCACCTCTGAGCACTACAGTGTTTTGCACTTTTGCTTCTGATCTCTACTTGAGCTTTTTTAACACCAAAGAAGGGAGTGAACCCATCCAATAAGAGACGTCAGCCACTCGTGTGCTTTTAATGCAATAACTCAGGATTTGCTTTGTAAACCTTAAGATAACCTCCACACAGCGTCAGCTCAGCTCACGCGATATCTTTACCATAGTCTGCAGTCAGTTTATTTTAAAGAATGTAAAGTGTCGTGTCTCACATGATGATTATTTAAAGGGCACATACGAAGGAAATCCAGATTTTCCAAAATAAGTGTTTGATGTAGTCTGTAAACATTGTTAAACTTTCAAAAAAACACTTTCCCAGTCCAAACAGTCCATAAACCACTTTCCCAGTCCAAACAGTCCATATAGGAAACTAAGCTGCAAAAGCAACCTCATGATATTTGTGATGTCATAATGACCCAAAGCATTTACATATACACAGCTGTTCAGCCTATAGCAGTTTAGCCCCGCCCACTCACAGTGAAGAGAGTGGGCAGAAGGTTTTTGAATAAGACCACTTTCTGAATCCAGATTGTCGTTTCATTTTAGAGAATGTAAACTGTCCCACATTATTTAAAGGGCACATAGAAAGGAAATCCAGATTTTTCAAAATAAAAGTTTGATGTCGTATGTAAACATTAAATTTTCAGAAACATACCACTTCTCCAGTCCACACGGCAAATATTTGACACTAAGCTGAGAAAGTGACCTCATAGCATTTGTGATGTCATAACAACCTAAAGCATTTACAAATATACAGTCCATATTTGAAACTAAGCTGCGAAAGCAACCTCACAGTTTTTTGTGATGTCATAACGACCCAACACATTTACATATAAACAGCTGTTCCGCCTACAGCAGTTTAGCCCCGCCCACTCACTTCAGTTGTTGAATGTTTTTGAATAAGACCACTTTCTGAATCCAGATTTTTAAATTTAATTTGAGAGAATGTAAACTGTCGTGTGCCACATGACTATTTAAAGGGCACATTTTTCAAAATAAAAGTTTGATGTAGTATGTAAACAATTGTTAAATTTTCAAAAAATTTACCACTTCTCCAGTCCGTACAGTAATATGTAAAACTAAACTGCGAAAGCGACCTCATGGTATTTGTGACGCCATAACAACCCAACACATTTGCATATATACGGCCTATATTTGAAGGCAACCTCATAGTTTTTTGTGATGTCATAACAGCCCAACGCATTTACATATAAGCAGCTGTGTGAGTGGGCGAGAGAGAAAGGAATGTTTTAGAATGAGGACTGCTTTCCGAACGAGTCGCAATACAGGGCGGCCAATCAGAACAGAGCTCATTTACATATATCAGTCTTAAAGGCGCAGTAGCAAAAAATACTCAGTTTAATTGTGAGGGATAAAGAGAACATGGGAAAATGAACTAGGGCCGTTTTAAGTGCACTTCATGAGCAAAAAAGGGAAAATCATGTTTGACCTGCATGTGTGCAGTTTTATGAGGGTCTATGGGGGTCTATACAGGGTCTTCACCTCCACTCATACTGTGAGTATGACATGGCGCAGCACAGAGGTCTGAAATCTGGGAAAATGACTCAGATGTGCAGAGTCACTCAAACAGGAAAGCGTTTTTTGAAAAGTGACGTAATGACGGTAGAAGTGTGTCTCTGTGTGTAAATATTATGTGATTCTTAGAATCAAGGTGTCATAAAAGAGTCTGTCAAGTTCTAAATCTGATTTTTTAAATAGAAAACGATTATATCAAAAACGATGCTGACCTGCTTATGTTTACAATCACATCACCTGTAATCAGAATAACATGATGACATACTGATGATGCACTGATGTTGATTTTTTAATGATGTGATGTCATAGAGTTGATTTATATACCTGTTTTACTTAATTAAACGCCTTAAACTTCAACCTGTTGGTCTAAAAATGGATTTTTTTATTTTGATCTTTTTCTGTAGAAGATGGAAATGAAACAGCAGAGTGTGACCACTAGGGGGCGAATGTGTCCTGAGATTAATGACCACTATGAACTCTAATAGGCCTTCAAACCTTTATTCAAACTTAGAATGAGCCCATATTTACAGTGTACACACACAAACAAGAAGCACTAAAACAAAAGAGTCTAATAAGAATAATAAAAAAAGCAATAATGGAAAATAAAGACACTAAAAATGAAATATGAAATATTACAGGGCAATTCCGCTTATTTTTGAACATTTTCTGCATTATTAACTGGTTAAGATGTAAACAGAGTCATTCAGAGTGGTTTGGTGTGAAACTCTCTGTTCTAGAGAAACTTACTGAGTCAGAGCTGTTCACAGTGGTGGTGATAGGAACCAGACGTCCACCTCTAAAAGCTGAAAGTTCCTACATGAAATGGTTATGAATTCACTGCCTGATGTCTCAGTTTTATGATAGTTTTGGGAAAATTTTGGCCTAAAATATATTTCTAAAACGGAGGGATACATGCAGGGTGTTGTGAGGCAAAATAGACCCCAAGAAAACTTATTATTATTTCAGATTTTCCACTATTTTACCATAATAAACATAACAAAAGTTAAATTCTGCCAAGAAATGAGTCTCTACAATCAACCATTTCACACCAAACCACTCTGAATGACTCTGTTTAATGAATCTCAAACACTCAATTTTGCAAAAATTTTGAAAAATCAGTGGCATTCCCTTTTAACAAAACGATAAACAAAGCAGTTATAAACTGAGTGAGAGGGACTGGAAGTTGTACGTAAAAAGCCAGAGTGAAACGATCGATGGATTGTGTTCTAATATTGTAATGAACGGAGTTAAAACTGACTCCAGATCTGCACTCAGAATAATATACACATAGTTCTGAGGTAGTTTGTAGATCTGAGGCTGTAACTGTTGAGAGGTAAGGCTGCTGCACAGATTCCTTCCTCTTACCCCAAATATAGTCAATCGGTCAAGACGTGTTTGTTGTCGGTGCTTCTTTAGTTTTAGCACTGGAGCTACGAGGCTAATGTAGCTAACCAGTAATGGAAGCGTAGCGTGGCGCTAACTGCATGCTTAAATCATAACATATGGGCCTCAAACCGCGCTGTTGTAGAAATCTCTAACACAGTGTGTCCAGACTGGTCCTCACAGCCCCCCAGACGCTTCCTTCGTCCCTGTGCACTGTGAGTTCGGCTGGAGCAGAGCTGTGGAGCGTCTGGGGGGCCCTGAGGAACCGGCCTGGGAAACGCTGCTCTAACAGACCACTGTAGTCGTGTCGTCATGCTGTAGTCGGTGCTCTTACGTCTGTATAAGGAACTCCGGGTCTAAAAGGAATTTCTCTGTGAGAAAAATGAATGGAGTTCTCAAAAACTGCCTCTTTCGCCTCCTGTGATGATCAGAAACGTTTCAAAGCTGAAACTTTTTGTCCTGTGAACATTCTTCCCTCCAAAATCACTGGATCCCCTGAATTATGAGGTCGTTAAAGAGTCGAAATATGAATATTTCTCACTTTTTCCTCCAGAAATATGAACTAATCTCTCCTCCCTTTTCTATTTCTCTCCTTTTCTGTCTCTCTCCCTCTGTTCTCTCCTGACTCGTGTCTCTATCTGTCTCTTTCTGTCTCTCTCTCTCTCTGTTTGTTCTCTACTGACTCGTCTCTGTCTCTCTCTCCGTCTCTCTCTCTCTCTCTCTCTCTCTGTTCCCTCCTGACTCATGTCTCTCTTTCTTTCTCTCGCTTTCTCTCTCTCCTCTCTCTCTCTCTCTCTCTCTCTGTTCTCTCCTGACTCATGTCTCTCTTTCTTTCTCTCGCTTTCTCTCTCTCCTCTTTCTCTCTCTCTCTCTCTCTCTCTG